TATCTTTTTTCTGTAATCTTTCCATTCCTTACAGTGAACACATTTATTACAAAAAACATAAGTTAATATGCAAGATTGAAGGGTATGCAGACTCTGGAGTCAGATCTCCTGGCTGAAGACCGAATTCCTTCAAGAGTTATGTGTTTGTAGACACATTATTTTCTTTCTTTGAATCAGTTTCCTCTTTAAAACATTTTTAATTGTGTCTATGTCGGGGGCGGGGGGCGACAAGCCCATGAGTACTGGTGCCCACAGATACCAAAAGAGGGGATGATACCCTTTGGACCTGGAGTTAATGTGATTGTGAACTGCCTGGTAAGAAGTACTGGGAACCAAACTCAAGTCGTCTTCAAGAGCCGTAAATATTCTTAACTGCTGAGCTGTCTTTCCAGCCTCACAGTACCAAGGTCATTGAGGGTTATGAGAGTACAATGAGGTACTCCAGACCCCCGGGTGGCATGGCATGTGGCAGAGAGGCATAAAGAGATAAATGACAACTGCTCTCATCAGCAGTGAGATGCTGCTGGCTGCGCTATCTCCCGCTTCAGTGTCCTTGGTATGTGTTCAGCGCTGTGGAAATGGTAGCTTTTCACTGTGTTCATTTTTTGGTGATGGGGACTTGGATAATGATCGAGTGCTCTAGCACTGACCCACATCCCTGAGACACCACAGTGGGTGGATTAACTGGAACCATTTCGGGGATCTTACATAGGGCAGTGGCCCGAGAACCAACTCTATAGACAGAGATGAAAAGCCCCCAAGTGCCTTTCCTATCAAGGTCAAGTTTCTACCAATGGGGAAGCTCATGTTATTTTTACAAAAGCTGTTGGCACTCTCTGAGAAAGTGAGGCTACTTTATTAGATGAACCAGACACTGTTTTCTTATTCTTCCATGGGACAACAGCCAGAAGCCAGGGCAGTACTCCTTGTAATGCCATGGTTCCTACATCCTCCACTACCCTCCTTCCCGAGACGGGATACCCCTATGTTACCACACTGCCTAAAACTCTGGGCTCAAGTGACCCAACTGCCTCAACCTCTTGAGTAGCAGTAACTACAGACATGTGCCACTGTGCCCAGTCAGAATTTTGCTGTTTTGAAATACAGGCTCACATGCTAGGTATATGCTCTACCATGGAACCTACTCACAAGCCCTCCTGTGCTCTTCCTCCCAAACTGTAGGTAAGTCAGTTCCAGAAGACTGTCTCATGTTTCATGTGAAGTGCTCCTCTTGGCCTTGGTCACACATGCTTCTTTCTGCAGTGGGCAACAGTCACTACAGAGACAAAGAACTGGTCAAAGTGCTGGGAATAAGTCTATTGAATGCTCAGCATTACAGCAGCCACACCTGTAACAGCCCCACCTCCAAAGCTCAGGGAACACTTCCAAAGAGAGGTGGAAAGAATGCAAGAGCAGGAAGACAGGAGTCTGTGTGTGTGCGCGAATGTGCGCACGTGTGTGTGTGTGTGTGTGTGTGTGTGTGTGTGTGTGTGTGTGCTGCCTGCATGTGTGCTGTGTAATGCTATCTTTGAGACATGACATGGCCACTGCTCCCATGAATTCATGGTTACCCACACAAGGTCAAACCAACAAGATCAATCATGATCCCATGATTGATCAGGCAGCACTAATTGGACTCAGTGAGTTACAAAAATTAAAAAAAAAAAGACATGAAGTTGGGAGGGGGACTTGTTGAGGGGTGTTCAGGGAAGTAGGGGGGAATGGGAATGCATATGGTCAAGGTGTTTAAATCTATGAAACTGCCAAAGAATAAGTAAAATATATTCTTAAAAATGTTTCATGTATGGGGGACTGGAGAGATGGCCCAGTGGTTACTAACACTGACTTCTCTTCCAGGGGAACTGGGTTCAGTTCTCAGCACCCACATGACAGCCTACAACTGTCTGTAACTCCAGGATCCAACTTCCTCACACAGGCAAAACACCAATGAAATTTAAAAAAATGCTTCATGCAAGTTGAATTTGCTTGGGACTAGAAGTATTCTGGATTTCGGAATTTGGAATATTTGCCATACATATGAGAAATCATGGGCTCAGAAAGTCACAGGTACTTCATATACACATACATAGGCTGAAAGCTATATAAAATCAGGTTGTCAGTGTACCTATTTGTGTATGTATGTGTGTATGGGTGTTTCATCTGCATGTATGTCTGTGTACCATGTGGGTACCTGGTACCTAAGGAGGCTGAAAGAGGGCATCAGATCCCCTGGGACAGGAGGTCCAGGTGGTTGTAAGACACCTGTGCATGCTGGAAACTGAATCCAGGTCCTCTGGAAAAACAGCCATGGCTTTTACCACTAAACCATTGCTCTCTAGACCTCTCACCTGTTTTAACTACAATCTGCCACAGGAGATATAGTGCGAATTTTCTACTCGTCATGTTACATTACCACTGGTTATATTACCACTGGAAAGTCTTCTGAGTTTGAAGCAGTTTGGATTATAGGTTCTTGAATTAGGGATACTCAATGAAAAACTTCAAGTAAATGTAACCAGGAAACTGCAGTTAAGGATGTGTATGTGTATGTGCGCACACGCATGCGTGCACGCGTACACACATGTCTACTAGGGAAAACCTTGCCCGTTATTTTAACTGGGGGGGGGGATTGTTTTTGAGGGTTTCTCTGTGTAGCCCTGGTTGTCTTGTAACTTGCTTTTTAGATGAGGTTGGTCCCAAACTCACAGAGATCTGACTGCCTCTGCCTTCCAAGCGCTGGGATCAAAGGTGTGCGCTATTATTTTAATTCAATCCCAGCTATTATTCTAATTTTTATTATTCATGCATGATGTGTATCTATGTGGGCGAGTCCAGTGCACATATGTGGAGGTCAGAGGACAACGCTCTAGAGCTGGTTCTCTCCTTCCCCATGGATGCTGGCAATTGATCTCAGGTTAAGCTCGTGTGGCAAGAGCTTTGACTCACTGCCCCATTTCACTGGTCATGTAATCTTTTTTATTACATGTATATTCATTATTTGGGTATGGATAGACATGTGCCAAAGCATGTGTGGAAGTCAGAAGACAATCTATGGGATTCAGTTATCTTTTTTCAGCATGTGGGGTCCTGTGGATGGAACTCAGGTCATCCATCAGGCTTGGTAACAAGTGACTTTACATGCTGAGCCATTTTGCCTGATTCCATGTGTTCCTTTTAAAGTAAGAAAAAAAGAAAAGCTTTCTGAGATCCTATTCTTGGGATTGGGAAATGCAGCTCAGGGGTAGAGTCCCTGACTATCATTTACAAGGCCCTAGGTTTGATCTCCACCACTGAAAAAAAATTTCTGTGACCACAGTCATGAAAATTCTGTGGACACGGTGACCTCCTTTCTTGTGATCTCTCCTCTTACTCCTTATGTGATGTGGAACCTGGTTAAGCAGAGGAGTTTAAAACTGATTCCTGCTGCATGAGTTGCAAGTCAGCCACATTTCCATAAAGCACAGGGACCACACTGTTTTTTAAAAGATCCATTCATTTAGTACCTACTTGTGGAGCCCCGATGTGTCGAGCACTGTCATAGGTGTTTCTTAAAGCCTGTGTTCTACATTGTGGGGCTCCTACTATAAGTGAACCAGAGGCTGCTGGCTGTCGGGCTCGGTCGTCATAACTGCTGCAGGTGAAGGGCTAAAGGCTACACAAGTGGTAAATCTGAGGCTGAAGGTGATGGTGACCTGTGAGGATAACAGGGGGAGTGGCTCAGAAGGTGACTGTGTCCCGGCAGGGGCCTGCTAAATGCTGGTTTGACTGTGGCAAGAATAACCGGGTGATGACAGTGGAAACAACTGACAGGTGACTACGGGTGTCATGTTTAGGTTTGTCAACTTAACGCAACCGGAATCATCTGGGAAGTATGTCTCACTAGGTGATTGTCTACACTGGGTTAGTCTGTGTGTGGGTGGGGGTGTCTTGAGCTAAACAATGTCAGAAGACCCAGTACACTGTGGCCGGCACCACTTCCCAGTCTGGTCCTGAACTGGGGTCCTGAACTGTGTAAGAAATTCAACTGAGCACAAGCAAACAGGTGGGTATGTATTCACTTCTCTCTGCTCTTGTGGACGTGATGTGACTGTGAAGCCCTTGTCTGGCTTTGACTTCTCCAAAGTGATGGACTAACTTGCAATTGTAAGTTGAAATATATCTTTCTCTCCTTGGTCCTCCTTCTTCATCTTACTATGTAGCTCTGGGTGTCCTGGAAGTCCTTCCGTAGACCAAACTGGTCTCAAATTCACAGAGATCTGACTGCCTCAGCTTCCAAAATACTGGGATTAAAGGATGGGCCACCAAGCCTGACTGAGTATGTTGCTTTTTGTCAGTGTGTTTTATCATGACAGAAACAAACTACAACAGCTGGCCAGAGTGTTCCAATGAGCAGAACTGTACGAACGTTACAGTCTCTGGCAGTGGCTGCAAACCACACAGTGACAGTAAATACGATAGGCCAAGTGACAGCAGCAATTCGAGATGCAGTTCTACTCGATTGAATTTCTGGTTTCAAACGGCATTGCACCGAGTCCAACTGACAGCTACAGCGCTGAGGATCATTGAATATTGTCACTGCCGATGGAACAGAGGAAGCTTGACACTGTAACAAGAAGCTTGCTTGTATCTGGGTCTGACATCGGTAGCAGGGACAAAAAAATCTGCATGTTTGACTGCCAAGACGCTAGGGGATCGGGGTGCAGTAAGACGAGAGAGAACGTGGTAAAAGAATCCACGCCAAGCCCAGTCCAGAATAAATCCCGTCCCCGTCCCGCACGTGACCGTGTTTGTTATTACGGAAAACAGACAGAAACCTTTGTTGTCTCCACGCTGATGATCTCAGGGTGGCTCGGGTAATGGGCGACCACACCAGGCAAACTTCTCCCAAGGAAATGGGGCGGAGGTCAGAGGTCAAGAACAGGCTAGTAGCCAGCTGGCCCTGGGACCCTACCATTGGTGGAGAATGACCACATGGTACAGACACCGCCTTCTCGCGAGACCACCCCAGCACGTGACTATGGCGCGAGCATCTCAGCGTCTCTGCCCTCAGCGTCCCCCGGCCCCAAGATGGCTGCCTTTTGGCGTCTTTGGCGCTGTTGAATGGAGAAAGCTTTATTGTTCCCTTCGGGCAGGAGTGTTCGTGTCCTCTATGGCGCTGTCAATAAAGAACGGCAGTTTGAATCGGTACTGAACAGGTAACCATAGAAACGGCGCTGGGACTCCACATGGAGACCCCTGTTGCGGCAGCGGCCCGAGAGACTCCCTGGATGAGGGTCGCCCCGGGACCCTTGCGCACTGCGGGCTACGCACGTGGCGAGCTCCACGGGGCTCGCGTCGATCACAGCCGCCCGCTGTCCTCTGGACGTGGCCCGGGGGTGGCCCTCACCCCGGGCGTAGTCTCGGTCGTGGACTCCCTGCGGGAGGACGGGGGACCCTGCCTGGCAACCGCGGGCCTTTTTCCCAGCTCCCCGCGACTGGTCAGCGGACGCCCGCCCTCCCAGGGGTCCCTCCCCGTCCCTGCTCTCAGCTTTTGTTTACAGCGAGACGAGAATGGTTTATCCGTTTTAAAATAGTTGTGGGGAAATAGAAGTCATATGAAATAAAACTTCAGCTCCCAGAAGTGAAGTTGCACAGAAAAGCAGCCACGTTGATTGTTTATGTGTTGTTTGACCGCCTGCCCGACGCGGGGCGGGGGAGTGCTCGCCGTTGCTTGGCTTTTATTCCGCTTTGATGGAGAGGCCCATGAAGCTGGAGTCATTTCTCAGTGGCGCTTTACAGAAGTTTGCCAACCTTGGCCCGAGGCACAAGTAGATTGAGCTAATGTTCGATTGACACAATACCCTGACTTCCGTATCACGCTCAAGCTAGTTTCCCATACTTTGCAATGTTGTCCGCCGCCCAGTGCGTCCAATAGACCATCTATTTTATGTTTACACATGCGCGTTGGAAATACTTTTCTTTTGCAAAATAAATGATGTGAGATTAAGCTGTTTTGGGGTGTACTAGGTCATAGGACTGGCAATCTGAGCCTAACACTGGGAATCCCCTGTTGCCTAGTACTGCTTTCTCCCTCTGGGAGTGTTCTTTCTTGTAATTGTATCCAAATCTTGGTATTGGTTACAATCTCAAAGTACAAATTATCATTACTTGGCATAAATTATACCCACCGGTCATGTAGACATGGTTCTTCTGTGACGGTATTTCCCAAACCCTGTCTTTTGTTTGTTTTGAGACAAGATCTCAGGTAGCCCAGGCTGTCCTGTCCTAGAACTAATTCTCTCTCTCTCTCTCTCTCTCTCTTTTGTGCGTGTACACAGCCGAGGTTGGCCTTGAGCTCCTGACTCTTCTGCCTCTCCCTCCCAAGTGCTGAGATTACAGGCGAGTGCCCCTTGCCCAGCCCCCTCAAACATTTAACGGTTGTTTTGTTTGTTTATTTTAACACCTATGCTTGCCTAAGTGAATTTAATTAGCCGTTTGCTTCTACTGTGTGCAGGTATGATTTTTGGAAATGTGCTAGTGCACAAGATAGCCTTGACCTCTGTCTCTTTGGAATTTAAATTCTTCTACGGGCTTGGGTGATGTACAGGCACACAGAAACACGGGTCTTCTACGGGCTTGGGTGATGTACAGGTACTCAGAAACAGAGGTTTTGCTGCGCAGCCCAGGCTCACCTTTAACTTGAGATCTTCTTTCCTCAGCTTCCAAATGCTGGAATTGCAGTTGTACATTACCCCTGCCTGTCTGACAAAAATAATTTCAAACCTATTTCATAGCACCAGAGCAATAAAATGAGTAGTTAATGCTCATTGAGCAGGTTCTTTGTGCCAGATACTGGCACTAAGGCTTAATGTGAACTGTCACTTAGTCTGTGACACAGACAGTGGTAGGATTAACCTTTTACCCTGGAGAGGTGGCCAGCATTACATGGTTTATGCATGGGGAGCATGGAGCTGAAGTAAACAGATGATGCCATGCTGTGTTCCATCTGTTGTCTTCCCTGCCAGCTTGTGAGGTCCACGAGAGTAATGCCACATCTTACTTTTGTGGCCTCAGCTGCTAGCCCGTGCCACAACTTGATGTTTTCGGGAAGGTAGTAAATATACACATCTTGAGCATCCGCTGAGCAAATACTACACCACGAGCACTGGTAGAGCTGTGTGGCTTGACACATTGCAGAGTTGTTGTCTACTCTTATGGTCTGCACAGTAGGGCGTTGTCTTGCTTATTGAAGAGAAAAATGTCTTAATAGGTCCGGAGTTTGCTTTCTGAGAGGGGATCTTCTTGGTCTTAAACCAGTGTTGCAACCTATCTTCTTGCCCTATTATGGAGTGCTGGGGTACAGTGTGCTTACTATTGTATGTAGTTACATCTAATTGGAAAGACTAACCCAGATTTGCCCCCAGATGTGTTAAATAATAGTGAAAATTCAAATGTGTCACAAGCAAAATGAGGGGCAGGAGTATGTGCGTTTTCTATCTTTTGAGGAGAGGGAGAGATAGATTTCTCTAGTGTTTAAATAGAAGGCAACTTTCCCAAGTGGAATGTAATTGTTCTTTTAAATTATTTTAAAACTACATTAATTGTGTGTGTGTGCACACGCACGTGTGATGAGGTGGGGGGAGGAGAGTGTGGATGGGTGGAGGTGCTTGGATGCGCAGTGTGATGGTAGAAGGAAGAAGACAGTTTACAGGAGTTGGTTTTCTCCTACCACCACGTGCCACCATGAGGAACTGAACTCAGGTCAGACTTGGCAGCAGGTGCCTTTGGTCCACTGAGCCATCCCACCAACCCAGCTATACAATTGTCTACATAGAAAGTTTTTCATCATTTTAGCACTTTAAGCTTAGAACTGTTAGTGATCCTCCATCAGGGATACCTGCATTTTGGTAGATGTTGGGAATGTAACCCAAGTCTGTCCCACAGCAAACATGTGCTCTGAGCCTGAACTACACCTTCAGCCCCAATAGCTGCACTTTCTTGGGACTTTTTTGGGAAATCTGGGTGCTGATCCTAGGGTGTGTTTGCAGTTGATTGTGGGTTTCCTTTCAATGTTTTCTAATGAAGCAGCATCCTTTAAAAGCCAGGCATGGTGAGGCACACCTTTAATCTGTGCATTCAGAAGGCAGAGGAGGGTGGATCTCTGTGAGTCTGATGCCAGCCCACAAAAAACAAAACAAAAAACTAGAATCGTGAGGCTCTGTCTCAAGAAGAAAATCGTAGCATCTTTACTGTGGTATGGAATACTTGAAAAGCACTAGGCTTTTTGAATAGGTATGAACACAACAAGAGCGTGAGGAAACGATAGGCTGTACTAAATCCACAGAGAGCTGGAGCTGTCATATGGAAGAATGAATGTCAGGTTTTGCTTTATACTGTATGCAGTAACCGTGTTAGGCATGTCATCAGAAGATGTCAACCAGGCCAGCGAATGGAGCTGGGAGCTGGCCACAGAGTGGCATGTTAATGCAGTATTGAACTGCAAGCCCAGAATTAAATTGCTATTTCGGGTTTGGGTGGGACCTTTCCATCTGAGCGTTGCTGTTTCTACTTTGTGATTTGGGTCTGTTGGGTTCCAGTAAAGAGTAGGTGGTAACGCCAGCTTTGAAGCATGGTATGAAACTGCAGGAGGAGCCAGGGCATACCAATTTGTTTTCCAATCTATTTTATTTCAGTTCAGAGCATCAGTGCAGACGGCAGCCCAGGAAAACAGGCCGCACTCTGGCAACACTCAGCTGCATTTGCAGATTGAGGAAGACTGAAAGTAACCAAAGTGCAGCTTGTTTTCCTGGGCTGTCTGTCTGAGATGATGCTCTGAACTGAAGTGAAATAGATTGAAAAACAAATTGGTGTGCCCTGTTGCTCCATCCTCAGTATGCACGCTACCCCTCCCCAGCACACCTGGGGAACCACAGCATTGGCCCCTCAATCATTCTGAGCTCTCACCCCGTGAGCATTTTGATTTTTCCGAGGAAATTGAATTGGGGTATGCACTTTTCTGAACTTCCAATAGCTTACTTTCCAAAGCCATCATCTGAAGAATGTGGAGACCCAAGCTACTAACCACATAGGAAGGAATTTAAGTTCAGAGATGAAGCTGTCATTTTCTCTAAGCTGTGCAGAGGGCACAGTATTTCATTCACAGAGAGCACACAGTGTGAGGCCCTGGCATCTCTCCAGGGATCAGAGGGCAAGGAAAGAAAGAAAGAAAGTGACTTTCCTTCTATTTCCCTGATGTTACTTAACTTGGATCCTCAAAATTTCGACACCAAGCAACTCATTTCCTTACACAGAGTAAGGAGAGTATAGATGATTCGTGAAAAAATGAGATCATTAATCTCCAGGGAAATGTTGACTGTCAATGGATCCATGAGGCCTTTGAAAATGGCTACGAATCCTCCAGAATGCCATTCTTCCAGGAGGAGAACCATCACTTTAATCAGATCTCAGAGAGTCCTTGACCCTTCAAAAGGAGCAGAGCTGATAATGTCATATGTAACACCAGACTAAAGTCATGCAGGCAGTCACTTTGTACAGATCTATGCCCTTGACCTGAGTTTTAGAAGTACCTTTTTAGTTCTTGTTTCTTATATGAAGTGGTCAGACATAATGGATAAACTTAAGGGCATGCTTCAAAACGCCTTGTGAATGTTAGTGCCTTACAAAAGACTAGTGAGATGTGGGTGGTATCTCTGTGACCTTGTTAACAGATCCGCCTGCCTGCCTGGAGGGTTCAAGTAGGGTGGCCTTAAGTCAACAAGGATGACCTTGAAATTCCTGAGTCTCTTGCCTTTTCATTCTGAGTACTAGGTTAATGGTGAGGATTACCAAGCCCCAGATCATCATCATCTTCTTCTCCTTCTCCTTCTCCTTCTCCTTCTCCTTCTCCTTCTCCTTCTCCTCCTTCTCCTCCTCCTCCTCCTCCTCCTCCCCCTCCTTCCCCCTCCTCCTCCTCCTCCTCCTTTCTTTTTTTAATATTTGATGTATTTCTTTTTAGTGTCAGGGATTAAAATCAGCCTTGCACATGCTCAGTATACACCTTGTCCCGCAGCTTTATCACTGCAGCTAATGTATTGTTTAGAGTGACTTGGAGTGGATTTTTTTTAATGTGTGCAACATGGTGGTTGACTGTGTATTACATGTCACCTTGCAGAATGGTAAATGGAGTCTAGTTGGTTACACAGTTGCTTCTTTTAGT